TATGATTAAAATATGTACTTCCCACAATTAAATCTTTGGAAGCTGCCATACTAATAAGCCTTAAACGATTGTCCTTAGTAACGTCGTGAAGACTGTGTTTACCAATATAATCTTAGTAGCATATCTCTTTTCCTATCTGGGCGTTCATGTCTCCAATGATTATTTTAATATCGTTTTTGGCACAGTTATCATATGCTCTTTCGAGGTCTTCGTAGAATAGATCTATAATTTCTTCGTCTTTTTCCTCGGTTCGCGCGTGCACGTTAATCGGGCATATGAAATGAATACATTTGGAGTATAAATGGGTTTTTAGACTAGCCATGCAAATGTTAACTGAACATCAAACAGTAAAACTAAAAGTCATTGAGTTTTTAAAAAGAAATTATTATTACTGTTTTTTCATATATATACTAAAATCAATTTGAGAAAAATAATCTAAATGAGTTATTTACAATTTAAAAAATGTTTTTATAATAACAAATTTTATCAACTCATAAAACGCGATATCGCTTACCTAAAGAACAGAAAATCTTTATTTTAATTAAATGTAGACAGGAAATAGTTGATAAATTTTTTGTATCATCACGTCCATACCATGTACTTATGACGATATTATTTCTAAGACGTAGACTGATTAAAATGAATAAGACGTACGTTGTGCTGTTTATTGTAAAAATTACCAAAACAATTCCATTTATAACTCTTTAAACTAGTTACTAATTTTAATAGTTTGACTAGTATTTAATTAACTGAATACTCACAATAGAGACTTATAAGATATAAAAAATTATTGTAAATTAAAGAGGTTCTGAAACTATTTTGTTGTGGCATGTCTAAGTTAAACATTAATTATGATGTATATATGGAATTAAGCCCCAATTGATTACAACTACTCTCATGTTGGAGAAACCGCAAGATCTTCTTCTTCTTGTAGTGCCTATCCGTTTCAGATGTTGGCGACCATTATAGCAATATGCACTTTGCACACTGCTGCTATAAAAAGATTTGTGGTTGTTGTGTTGAACCACGTTTTGATGAAAAGACCAGCTGCTTGTTTTACCTTTTTATGCATGTTAAACGTATCATAATCGTTATTTATGTTATTATTGACACGTTAAACATGTCATAATCATTAACCGCAAGATAACTAAGAATATACGATAAACAAAGGCAAACCCATCAGCAGAATGCACCACGATTTGGTTACCAATACTAAAAGAAGTCAAAAACAAGACCTTACCAACAATAGCGGATTAAAGAAAGTCGCAGACATATCATCTAAAATTTTTATACCTAGTACATATGCACACAATAAACAAATATCTACTTAAATACACATTACACGAACAAATAATATATAAAAAAAACAAAACAGTTAGAATTTGATGTTGCGAGGGGAAATTCATCTGTGGCAATCTAGCCACAGATTCATCTAGAATTTTAAACTGCTGCGTTAGCCTTTTTGTTTTCTGTACACCGAGGTGGAGCTTGAACTCACATCCACTGAACCATTCGACAGTGAAGCGAATGAGAATCGGCCTCCTAGCCCGTTTGGCTATCTGACCGACAAAAACTGCGTAAAAACACCACTATCAAATTGTTTCAACAAAAGCCAGGCTAGTGTCTAGGCCTAGAAGCTCGAGGCGAAGTAAGTCAACCACCAATTTTGAAAAACTTAACTAGATAACAATATGTTGGTTATACATTTTCGCAGAATTTGTAAAATAATCCTTTTTTGAAAGCGATTTTCGGACGTTTATTTGTTCCAGAAAATTGGGCTTAGTTGGCAAAAACTGCAATATAATTTTATCATGTGCCTCCGTTTTAGCCTTTATCTCCTCTGTTTCTAGTTTTTTAGCGTTATCAGAAAAATTGCGTGATAAAGCTTTAGTAATAACTAAATCTTTGTCGGGCTATATATAACTGTAACACTGTGATTATAACTCAAACATAACCTAAAACGTTGTAGTGTAGGTGTCAGTTTATCAATTAGTTTTGTTTGTAAAATTTGCAATAAAGGTCGATGTTCTGTCTACAATGTAACTGATGGTAAACCGATACCATATTTTGCAAGTGTATCTATGTGCTATGTTAAAACTAAAAATGCCACCCTCATAATCGGAGGTAATTTTTTCTTGCGTATTAACCTTGCTAATCCTGACACGTGCTAATGGCTAATATAAATAAATGGCTAAAGTTTTTTACTTGAAATACGTTAATGCAATGCCTCTGCCGCCATGTTTAGTTTGGGTTCTTGAATAAAAAGGTTACTATTTATTAGGATATATTTATTTTATATTTAACACGTACTTTGTAAGAATCTTAGTTCTTTCCAGAATCCTAACATACCTAACCTTAACTATAATACTAATATTTCTCATGTCCTCATATCCCTATATTGTAGGCAACCATAATATACTAACACAACATAACCGAATGCTTAAAAAGATATAATAAATAAAGAAAAATAACTAAAAGTATAAAACTAATGGTATGAATAGGCAAATATTTGGATACCACTTAGATCAGAATTATCAACAGAAGTAGCATTTCACACCTAGTACAGAGGATGGAGTACGTTCTGGAAAACAAAGATGTGATGCTGAAAGCATTTCTCTATATGGAGGGAGCGTTCAGCAATACTCTATCTGAAGTAATCAAAAAAATCCATTCGTCTAAAAGAAATAGACAAAGTCAGCTGCAGGTAGATATAATGCATACTTAAGAAACGTATGCTATAAACACTGCTAGTTGAGACTGACCACATCATCCAGTTCCCATCTACCAGTAGATGGACGCAGGGAGAGTATTATTATTTCTTCTGAGGAATCTGGTTACGGATGGGTTGATTGGGACTCTTCATTCAGAACAGAACAGGTCATCAAATCTTGAGCTATGTTGATGACTTTCTTATACTAGCAAAAGGCAAATTTAATGCAACAGTCAGGAATAAAATGTAACAGGCGCTGAATGTAGTATTAATATGGACATAAGAGGTAGGATTAGGGAAGTCCTCAAATTTCCAAAATAATAACCTTCACAAGAAATTACTCTGAAGGTGGAAGAAGAGGTAAACTATCAGAGTTAAAATAGATTTGATATCTGGAACCAACCCATAAACCGCTTCAGAAGAGCTATAACTCTATTCATGGTGGCCAGACGTACTTACGGCAAAACATGGCGACTGGTGATTAAAAACACAATAAATTATGAATTTCTGATAAAGTGGTAAAAGGTACAAAAAAGACATGTACTGTTAAAGCTAAGCAAGGTTCAAAGACTTAGGTACTTACCTCAGCAGATGCACTTCAATTGCATCAATTTAAATTGTATTCCTTCTCCTCCTTCCTTCCTTGCTTATCATAGTAAAGAGGGCAGTCGATAATGGGTTTATATAAACTGCAAGATAACCTATGCAATATTCATGTAATATCATGAAGATCGCTAAGGATCACATATGGAAGAGAAAAACTGCCACATGTTCCCCATATCGTAGAATCAAGATACCTTTCCAGGTGGAGCTAACAACAAGCAAAATATAAAATGATCCCAAGACATCCAAAGTCTGGTGGCCACAACTGGTACATTAACATGAGTATACAGTGGTGATAAGAACAACCACATTTCACTCTCACTGGGAAAGCACACACCTGTATTCCAAGCAGAGTGCTATGTAATCCTTCAGTGTGCAAGAATAAACAAAATTGGGACTTATGCAAACAGGCAGATCAATATCTATACAGACAGCCAGGCAGCCTTAAGAGCTCTAGCCAATCCAAGGATTTCATCGAAACTGGTGTAGGAATGTCGCCAAGAACTTCACAACCTAACGGACCTCAACACTGTAAAATTCATTTGGATACCAGGTCATCAAGAAATCGATGGCAATAAAAGAGTCATAAACTTAACAGAAGAGGATGGGTAATAAAATAAAATGATCGGTAATAAAAACCGATTCTAAATGTACCAAAAAGCACAATGAGAACAGCCCAAAATGAATGGTATCGCAACCTTAAAATTTGAAATAGCCAGAAGTGCTTTCAATAAAATAAATGAAAGCAGTATTCTGCAATGGAAAACTGAGGATTGAAATTTGAACTAGAGTATTGAGATGTTCGTATTATCTGAACATTTATATGGAGTTTAAGCCTTGACAATTACGGATGCAAGTGAAAAAAGACTTGCCAGCTTTAAAATGTGGTGTTATTGAAGAATGTGGAAAATATCATGAAAAAAACACGTAACTTACACGAAAACATTAAGAAAGATGACAAAAAAAAAGAATTCCTACTCAACAATATAAAGGAAAGAAAAATAAGCTACTTTGGTCACATACTAAGAAATGAAAATAATGAGTTAATGCGATTAATTATACTAGGAAAAGTGGGAGGAAAAAAACCGGAGAGACGACTTACGTCCTTTAAAGAAGAAGGTACACGAAGAAGAAAAAGAATCACCCAAAAGACTTCTATAAACTGGCGGAGGGTAAAAACATTTTGGAATGGATGTCGTAAAGAAATATGGAAGGTAAGCATAATAAGCCTAAAGGCTGCAGTGTCACCAGAGAATGTCTTTAGGCGGCATCCAAAAAAAAGTAGGACGGAGGTGAATGCATTCTCTTTTACACCGAATAATCTGCGTTAGATTTCCACTACAAACAGTAAATTTAGATAAACTGTAGATCTTATTCGTTTCTATACAACATAGATATATTCACAGGAACCTATCCTTAACTCCAGTGTGGCACATCATTTTACTATTTTTATTGGGAATAATATTTCCATTTTAACTTCGGAAATCTTTCAGAAACGGGAAAATTGAAACGTCACATAAACTTGTTCTAACGTAAAATTGCGGTTTATTCTCAACAAAAATAGTAAATTGTATTAAGATGCCATAAGAAAATAGAATAAAGTATTAAGAACATTATTGATACAATTTATTCATTGATAAGCATCCATGAATCTTTGTCTATTCCTCAAATATACGTGTGTTTTTAGAGTGTCCTACAACAAACCAATTGCAGCAGAGATGGAGAATTGCTTGCCAATATCCAAAAGCAGCATTCTATGGCCAACGGCGTTCCCCAAAACTTACTCACTCTTAATAATAGCAACCATTCCAAAAAACAGGGTGTCTCAGCTGAATCCAGTGAAGCAACTGGAGAAGCCGTCAATATATCCATTACAAAATTTGACAAAGATTTCAGGTAATTATTTAATACAACACTTAATCAGATTTATATTAGTTAATTTTCTACCAAAAGTGGAAAAAATACTCTAAATTATTTTATTGGAACATCCTAGATAAAAACCTATTAGCCCGTTGAACCACATATAAAAGCTCTTCACTAGGTTAGTGATATCAAGATTGGAGAAAAAATTAGATTTGCACCAACGAGAAAGCAGACAGGATTCGTTTAAATTGTGGTACGAATGATCACCGCCATACAGTAAAGACATTCATTTAAAACTTATAGAATACTACAAACCACTTGTCCTCACTTATAGATTTTCATAAAACGTTCGAAACGATCGAATTAAACAGCATTATAGACGCAATGATTGACAGCAGGATTACAAAAATGCCACTTTAACTATTAAGATACACGTTAAAACCCGACCAACAAAAATAAAATGTGGGTTAAGGCAAGGAGATACATTGTCACCGAAATTATTCATAAAGTCATAAGAGTATGCCGTTAAGACAGTCAGTTGCGACCACAGAGGAGTAATAATAGACGGCGAAAAGCTTAACAATCTCCGTTTCGCAGATGACATTGTCCTTATCACATATAATTTAGGAGAAGCCACAGATATGTTAAATGAATTGGACTTTGCATGTTCGAAGGTGGGCCTCGAATGAACTTGACCAAAACTAAGTTTATCAAAAATATGGTCCCCAATAACCATTTAACTATTCAAAACAAAGTGGTAGAACTGGTGGAGAAATATACGTATTTGGGTCATGAAATAAGAATCAGCAGGTCTAACCAAACATGCGAAATTTAAAGACCAATTACTTTAGCCTGGACAGCCTTTGGAAAACTGCGAGACACACTTATGGCCAACATACCAATTAGCCTCAAAAGAAAAGTATTTGACCAATGCGTATTACCGGTTATGACCTATAGGGAGAAAACTATGACTCTAACCAAAACTACGGCTTTGAAATTGACAGTAGCACAGAGACGAATGAACTGAATAAGAAACGAAGATCTGCGAAGAAGGACGAGTATTGCTGATGTTGTGGAACGCAGAGAGAAACTGAAATGGAACTGGGCAGGCCATGTAGCGAGAATAAACTTAGTAGAGGAAGACTACCTACGCGTTGGCCTGACGACATCAAGTGTATCACCAAAGATTTGCAACAAAGAGCACAAAATCGTAAAGAATTTAGGAGTCTAAGTGGGGCCTATTTCCAGCAGTGGACGTGATAAATTAAGGCTGAATGATAATATAGAAACACAAACTACAGACCAAATAGCATACTACACAAAGATAAATCCAAATTGCTCATGATATGGTGCTAATTTTCTATATTCTCATTATAATTTGTTAGGTAATTTTATCGGGTTTAGCCACTACATTGTTTTACTGCTATTTTCTTATATTTTAGATCCAAACAGCTGATCAAAGGAGCCATTATGGACAACAGTTTCCTAAAGCATCTAGACACATCACAGGTACGAGAGATGGTAGATGCTATGTATGCTAAAGAATTCTCAGCAGGCTCATTGGTCGTAAAAGAAGGCGAAACAGGAGTACATTTATTTGTTTCCGGTGAAGGTGACTTTGAAATCATTAAAGACGGTAACGTTCTGGGCCTCATGGGACCAGGAAAGGCATTTGGAGAGCTCGCTATTTTATATAACTGTACAAGGACGGCGTCAATACGAGGTAAAAATGTTTGGGGATTCACTTTTATGCTCCTCCGTGTAATTACCACTTTTTGAGTTTTACCACAGATAATGTTTTACCAAAGATAACAATTTTTACGGAAAAATACAATTCGGAAATAATTCGCGGAAAGTTGATATTTTAAATGACGCAACACCTGGTGAATAACATCCTTAATCTAATTCTCGTAACAGTCTTTTCTTATACACACATCTGTTAAAATGGTAGTTAAACGTAGATTTTGGTTTATGTATTGTCTCGCTAGTAAAAAACTATCTGTGATATTTTCAGCCGTTACCGATGTAAAAGTATGGATATTAGACCGGAAAGTCTTTCAACAGATCATGATGAGGACTGGTTTGCAGAGACTACAAGATAATCTTAACTTTTTAAAGTCTGTTCCGCTTCTTCAGAATCTCAACAACGACGTGTTAGCTAAAATAGCAGACGCATTAGAAGTGGTGAGTAAATATAATATTTCAAATTTTATCATTATCGGAATCAACTTAATGTAGTACACTTCAGAGTTCTTGATGCGATTCAGTAGCAATATGCAAACTACTCTCAAATTATGTTTATAGAGAGATTTGACATTTTTGTAAACTATGTAAATAGTACAACTTACTTTTCTATAATCTATTATTTCATTTTTAATGGTAAATATCCCATAACGTATGTAATGTCATATTGTGTGCTTGTCACGGTCAGTTTCAAATTTACACGTCACGTACAATCTCATTTAATTTCTGTGAATTAATGTGAGTTAATCTCAACCAATAATACTTATATTTAATAAATTGATATAAGGTTGAATGCTCGAATAAATGAACTTTGAAAAATTAAAGGCAAATATCGAGCACACTTTTAATAATCAATTCTTGCCCAAGTACTTTCGCTTTCTACAGCATCATCAGGGGCATTTCATCAAATTTGGACTATCCAGCAAGCACAGAATGTAATAAACATGAAGTTGAACATAAATTGTACATGCCAACACTGCCAACATGCCAACACTGCTATACAGAAATTTTTTGTTCCATATTTGACATTTGCGTCTTTAATCAGATTGTGCTTTCGGTAAACTGAACCTATTACATTATTAATTATTATCATTGTAACATTATAAATTAACAGAAAAGACATTTAATTTAAGAAGAAACAGAATAGAAAATGGACGTGGGCTAGTCCAGACGGAAGAACTAAGAGCGAATATGATTATATAATAACAGACAAAAACAAATTATTCAAGATGTCACTGTACTCAATAAACTATCAGTAGGAAGCGACCACAGACCAGTAAGAGCTAGAGTAACGATAAATCTACAAAAAGAAAGAGCAAAGATGATAAACAGTTGCAAACGCATACTTTGGAATTCACCAAATCATCCAGAAGCATACATAAAAAATATAGCCGAAACTTTACAGAGTAATAATCCTAAACCTCTTAGTATCAACGATCACAATAAACTAATAACAGACTCGGTTAGAAACGCACAACTCAAATTTTACAAGAAAAATGACACCAAAAGTGAAAAGATAAGCAAAAATACAAAAGCTCTCATAGAAATACGACGAAACCTATGCGAGAACGAAAAGGGAAACAAAGATAGAATATAAAAAACTAAATAAAAGAATTTATACGGAAATTAGAAAAGATGTAAGAAGATATAATATTAATGTAACAACTTACACAGTACATGACAATATTAACAAAGAGGCTAACACCTAAACTTGATTTCTATCAGCCCAAAGAACAGGCAGGCTTCAGGGCAGGATATGACACAAATGACCATTTGCATACCATAAAGATCTTAATAAAAAAATGCATCGAGTACAACATACCACTGGTTCTTGCATTTGTCGATTACGAGAAGGTTTTTGATTCTGTAGAGTTTGAAACAATACTGGAAGCCCTAAATCAAAGCTGAATAGATTACAGGTACACGACACTAATCAAAAACATCTACGAGAACGCTACATCAAGTATACGACTACACGAAGACACAGAAAAATTCAGCTTAGGTCAAGAGTTAGACAAGGAGACAATATTTTCACCAAAATTGTTCACAGCAGCACTAGAGTCAATATTTAAAAGCACTCAATGGCAAGATATAGGCATCAATATAGATGAAGAAAGATTAAATCACCTAAGATTTGCAGATGATGTTGTATTAATCGCAGATAATTTACATGATACAGTTTCTATGATGCATTCGCTTAAAAGTCTGTCTGAAAGAGCAGGATTAAAGATAAACTTTGAGAAAACTAAACTTATAATAAATCTTGTAATGCGTGGAAATATAACTATTGACAATAATACCATACAACAAATAGACACTTACAAATATCTGGGACACGAAATCAAAATAAGCAGAGACAACGAAACACATGAAATACAGAGACGAATAGGCCTACCATGGGCAGCATTTGGCAAATTAAGCCGTATTCTAAAAAGTTCAATTCCCATATATCTCAAGCGAAAGGTTTATAACCAATGTGTTTTGCCTGTACAAACTTATGGAGCAGAGACTTTAACACTTACGCAAAAATCTGCAAATAAACTCAGAGTTACACAACGAACCATGGAACGTGCAATGCTGAACGTGAGCCTTGGAGACCACATAACAAACCAATAAATCAGGCAAAGATCAGGAGTTCAAGACGTCATCGAAAGAACCACGACGCTTAAGTGGAACTGGGCAGTGCACTTAGCCCGAACACAAGATGGACGGTGGACAAGACGTATTATGAAACGGAGGCCCAGAAACTATAAAAGAAGCCGAGGACGACCACCGACTAGATGGATCAATGATATAACACGTGTAGCAGGAAACTGGCTACAAGCGGCCCAGTGTAGAGAACACTGGAAAGAACTGAGGGAGGCCTATGTCCAGCAGTGGACGCGATTGTCTGATTGATTATGATGAACGTTATATATTACAAAATAATATCGTATCTCTTATTTTAACACTTCGTTATTTTTCAGGAATTTTATCCAGCTGGAGCGTATATAATTCGGCAAGGAGCAAGTGGCGACATATTTTTCATCATCAGCAGCGGATCTGTTAAAGTTACTCAAAGGCTACCAGGTAAAATAAATTTAAGTTTCTATAAAAGTACCGTGTAATCTCAAGATTTTTCTATATATTATATAGAAAAATAATTTTAATTTTATGTCAAAGGGTTTATATAACGGCATTTTTGGCAATACTAGAATTAACAAAAAAATGTAGTTGACTTGCAAACATACTTCACTAACAGTGTAGGATTAGAATAGCTAGATAGTTGTCAACTTACTATTGATTATATTACTGCTACCCGGAATAATATTCACTTAGATCACTATTCTGAACAGCAGCAGATAAAATGCTAAACTGTTAAAATAAAAAAACAAAACATTACTTCTTCTTTTTCCTCTTGTTCTCCTTCCACAGCTTTTACCTTTCCAGAGATCGCTGTTCCTTACTCTTTTCCAGCACTCATTTTTATCCACCGTGTCTTCTTTACCTAAACCTTTCTCCTTAGCCACACAGCCCTTCCATCTTTTCCCGGTTTTCCTTTACCTCTCTTTCCATCAACTTGTAACATCTCTATTTTTTTTCTACATAATTTTCATTTTTATGTTTAATGTGACTAAACCATTGCAGTCTTTGTTCTTGAATCTTTTTTGAGACTGTAGTCATCCCGGCTCTTTCCCTAATTAAGTCGTTCTTGATCCTGTCCCTTTAAGCATTACCCATATTCATCGTTACATTTTCATTTCAGCTACTTTTATCTTCTTTTCTTGAATTTTCGTTACAGGCCACACTTCACGCCATACACCAACGCAGGTTTCACCATACTCTTGTATATCTTTCCTTTCAGTCCTTCTCCGATTTTTTGATCATATTTTACTCTGCTCATTCGCTTCCAGTTCCAATTAACCTGTATCCTGTGAGCAATTTCTCAATTTCTTCCTAGTTTTTCATCAAGCAATTCTATATCATTAACCATTTTTGTTTCTCCCAACTACATATACTTCGCTTTCGACCTGCTAACTTTAAGTGTCCTTCTTCTTTAATATCCCTTCTCCAACCCTCCAACATTTATTTGCTTTTCTAGCGCATTGACTAAGGAGCCCTCTCCCTTACCCTATTCGTCAGTATATCCATAATAAGATTAAGCAGGTAGGAAATCAGTGAAGAGTCTTGATGCAAACCAACCATCACTGGAAAACTTTCGGTCAATCCTAAACAAGTCCTTACTTTGGTGTCCGCTCCCTCATATATATACTTCAGGACCCTTATGTACTTCTCAGAAACCCATTTCTTTCTCATACATCTCCATGGCTCTTGTCTAGAAACTCTGTCGTACACATTTTCAAGATCTATAAATACCAATCGTAGCTCTCTTTTCTTCCGTATTTCTCTATCAACTGTTTCAAAGCAAACAAGATACCCGTTGTCCTTTTTAATAAACTCAAACTGTTCTTCTTCTATCGATGTGTAAGAGGATAAAGCATTTAAAGGAGAGAAAAAATCTAAGAAGTTGTAAGATAAAATGTATAGATGGGTAAAGCACTTAGCTTTTTGTCCCCTTTTTTTCTTTAATATTAAGAATAAGAACATTGGAAATGCAATGTCTTAAATATTTGCAAATATTATGCCTATTTTGTGTGGTTGTAATAAAAACGTTTTTAATTTTGTTCTAGGGCAGCTTGAAGAAGACGAAATCCGAATATTGCAAAGAGGAGACTATTTTGGAGAACAGGCTTTGTTGAAAGAAGATTGTCGTACAGCCTCAGTGATTGCCATGCATCCCGGTGTCGAATGTTTAACTTTAGATAGAGAATCATTCAAGCAGCTAATAGGAGATATCAGTGAAATAAGAGAAAAAGACTACGGGGATGTAGAAAGACTGAACAAAACATCATCTTCTTTAGAACAACAAGGTTATTATTTAATGATTTTAATATATTTATACAATATTGAGTTAATCAGCCTAATAACAGTAAGAAAAAATGTTTGGCCATTTTTAATTTAATTCTGCATATCATAACAATCTATTCCTTGGAGGCTTTCTCTGCGGTTCTGCAACTGGACCTACTGGTATGGTTCTCTTTCTTTTAAGGGGCATTTGCTGTTATTCTCGTTAAATTTCTTCTTAAAATTTGCTTTTAACGACTATTGTCTTATCTGGTCTTTAAGGACAAGAACGAGTTGATGATTTATTCTGTGTATCTTTTGCTTCCTTTGCAGATTTTTTGTGGAAATCTACTCATCTGGTGGTACAAAAAGAATTTTAACGTCATCTAACACAAGGGTTTAATAGTTGAATCGTTTTTATATTTTTTGTTCACGCTCTGGTTCGCTTTAATTAACACCATCAATGATTGTCTTGACGATTTACAACGTCTTGAAAACCTGCAGTTTATTCTTTTTATCTAGTATATTGTTCGTTATGATATAAGATTAAAGAGTTTTTTTTTAATTATGGTGAATTTGATCTTTGTTGCCTCAACATATTCTTAGCAAGGTTATGTTATACCTACCTAATGGATTCTTTTTTATACACTATTACCATGGAATCGGATGGAGCTAGCTCAAAATGATTTACTGCGGCTTCTTGGTGGTCAATTTTATCTATTATCTCTTTGAAGTTCACTATTTGGTCTATAGGTGTTTCTCCATACGCTAAGTGATTCATTGATTATGTATTATCGTTTAACCCTTTCAGTACCGTCTTTGTTTTTCAGCGAAACGAAAAATATTTAATTTTTTGCCTAAAATGTACTTAAAACACTTTTTGGACATTGAAAAAATATAACATGTATATGTATATAAAAAAATTATTATGGGTTCTTTTGTATCCAAAAGTACTTAACAAATCTAAAAAAACTAGCACATATGAAACATAAAAAAGCAATTTCTTTCCTTTTGAAGGCACAAATGGACATTGTACTTCTGACATTTCCATCTTAATTTTCCTGTACAACAGGGCTTTTGCATCTTAAAGGTAAAGGTAGCTGTGGGTGCTCTGGAAAATGTCCAATATTATCAAACTCTGCCGCAGTAAGAGGTCTAATTTCAATGTTTTGGAGTTTTGCAGCTACTACTGGACTAGATGTATGGCTTGAAAGTTTTCCTCATTTCGGTTATTGAAAGAGTTGACTTTTATAAAGGCTTCACCAACTTTCATCCTAAAGTGTAGAGGATCCTTTTGTTGAATTCCCAAGGTATGCATGTCTCGTTTATACTCTAACCAAGAGTTTGTTAGGGCCATGTCAACGGCATAAAAGATTAACTAATTAACAGTCCACTTTCTGCAACGATTTTTTGTTCTCTAAAACACAATAAGAGCATCAGTTTTATCTATGCTACCCATGGACTATTATACTTTCGTATAATTTCGGGTCGACTTACGTCAGTGAAACATTGTGTTTTTTTATTTCAACGTTTTATAACATCTTCTGTACCAACCCTAACGAAGTTGGATACCATTATCACTGGTTTGTTATCTAACCATTTGGTTAATACAATTCCATCAGAAGAGATAATATGTTCCGTCGATCCTCACTCGTTTTTTGAAAAATTGGTTTAGAAAATCTATTGATCCTTGCCAGTACCAGCAACAAGTATTGATTTTTGGTTGAGAATTTGTAAAAGGTTATAACTCGTAACATAATTGTCACAATTGAACCTAAAAAGTATACATTATGTATGCTTTTTAGGTTTAAGTACTTTTGATAATTGCAATACGATGCTGTACCCTGTCTATATTTCAATTAGGAAGGTTCTATTTTGTGGTACTACATTGATAGATCATAAAATTGTAAATCAATCTACTTTTACCACCTAATAAATACCGTTTTACTCCCCATGGATTGGGTTTATTTTTTATGTATTGTTCTATAGACAATCTCCCTTTGAAGGGTATGATTTGTTCATCTATGCAAACAATTGTTTCTATCTGCAATTCTTTAAATCTCTTTGAAACTGATTCAGGATTGGGTCGAACTTTTCATAGTTTGTCGTAGTTGTCTGGATTCTAGACAGAAACTGGATATTCTTCAAAACAGTTTTCATTAGACACTCAGGTTATTGTATTAGGTAATGGTCGTGTTACATATTGAACATTCTGTAACTATTTCACACATTTTTTGAGTTATAAAGTAATCATAGTTACCATCGTTTTCGTTCTGTTCATCATTATTCCTCCTTTTCTTCCTCATTATTCTCTTTCTCTCTTCCTCATCCTCCCCTTCGTTTTGATTTTCTGAGATAGCATATATCATATGGTCAATTCTCTGTCTTACTTGTATTTCTTCTTGCAGTCACTGCCATCCCTAAGACATTATATGTCGGACGGTTCTCCAGCTCTTCTAGTAGTTACTTCTCCGGTAAATATTTTATTAGAGGCAATAACACTTAGCCATTTTGGATACAATTGTGCCCATCGAATTGAGGTATACTTCTATATTTGAAAAAAGTCAAATTTAAATAAAATATATTCACAATTAGTAAGAGGGAACACTACTTTCAACATTGCACTGAAATATAAACCGCAGTTGGCTTTTATTCAAACTAATATTTGAAGAAACAAGTACACTTACCTCTTACGAACAATGCAGTTGCCCCCATATTGCTTTTGACAATAATTTTCTTTTAGAATAAATCCATCCATGGCCATGTGGGTACAAAACACAGAAGTATAATACTTATAGAATGTAAATTTCTTTAAACTGGTTAAGTAATATTTTAAGAATATATCATTCAATTAATGAGTACAATTATTCCAACACGACTGAAATGGTTAATACATACATGGTATATTACATAGATTTTAGACTATTACATAGATTTTAATAAAGTAGAGGACAAAATGCTGTCTTTTTGATTTATTTGTTGCATTGAATATATGGCCTATTATGGTATTTTGTTCTTATCGTAAATTTTTTTAAAATGCATTTTGCATGTGAGTGCTTCTTTCGGACAGTATCATGCGCCTTTTTTTGTACCAATAAGTGCCATCCTTGCCCACTTTCCTTTATTTTAAACAACATTTAATTTTGTTACTATACTTTCTTTATGTAGTTAAGTGTTTCTTCATTTCTGAATCTTAATTGGTTTTCGTAGATTTATCATCAGTTGGCGTTACAGCCCTTGGTGAGCCCTGGCCTGCCTTAAAACATTCTTTCATCCTTTCCTGTCGAGTATCTGTTTCCTCCATCCCGTTATTCCAATCTTCCTTAAATCGTCTGGCACATCGTCCAGTTACCTAAGTTTGGGCCGTTTCCTTCTTTTTCTTCCATTTTCATGTATCCGCATAACGTGGCTCACCCATCTTAGGCAGTTTATTCACTTTTTATTAATTGGTTGCCTCTTTTCCTGTTTATTCTTTTGTATTTCCTTTCTTTTCTTTACTCGATATCCTTTACAATTGTTCCTATTCTTTTTGTTAATCATTTTCAGATAAGTCTTCTGGTCATTTTTATCTACCATCTCCTTGAAATTGGCTATCTCATCTATAGCTATTTCTCCAGATGCTAAGTGATTAATTGATTATTATCGTTTTAATACATACTTAGCTTGGTATCTCGGAAATCTATTATATACATTTTAATAAAGTTGAGGATAAATGTTGTCTTTTTGATTTATTTGTTGCATTGAATATATCCTTTATTATATTATTTTTCTTCTTATCGTCAAAGTTTTGTTCAACACTAAAATTAAGAAACTATCAAATTCAACGCATTGGTTTATAATATAATATAAAATTTATTTTATTTCGCACCAGGGGGAAGGTCGAAAAATAGATTTTTAAGAAAAAATGTCTCAGAATTTTATTTTAATCATTATATTTCAATCCATTTCTTATTAATATTTTAAATTATATTTTTAGAATACGAATACATTAAACTGAATGATTTAGAAGTCATAGCTACATTGGGAATTGGAGGATTTGGTAGAGTGGAACTTGTCCAATATGTAGCAAAACCCTCCCTCACATTTGCCTTAAAGTGTTTGAAAAAACAACATATAGTAGATACGCAACAACAAGAACACGTTCAGAGTGAAAGAAGTATAATGATGAGTTGTAGAAGCCCCTTTATATGTCGGTATGTTATATTATTGTAGGAGAAAATCAATAGTAATACTAAATTTTGTTTTACTTTTAGGTTATATCGAAGCTTTAGGGACCAAAAATACGTCTACATGCTATTGGAAGCATGTTTGGGAGGCGAAGTATGGACAATCCTTAGAGATCGAGGTTGTTTCGACGACCACACGACTAGATTCATAACAGCTTGTGTCATAGAAGCCTTTGAGTATCTTCACGCTAGAGGAATTATCTATAGAGATTTAAAACCTGAAAACTTACTATTAGATTCAAAAGGTTATGTAAAACTGGTCGATTTTGGCTTTTCTAAAAGATTAGGTTATAGTAGCAAAACTTGGACCTTCTGTGGCACTCCTGAATACGTGGCTCCAGAAGTTATTCTTAACAAAGGGCACGATAAAGCTGTAGATTTCTGGGCTCTTGGCATCCTTATGCATGAACTTTTGACTGGAAAGTAAGTATTTTTATATTAATATTAGTTTGTATAGGCCAACGGGTTCAGTCCGTATCCTTTCTATTTTCTGAATATTTAATTTTCTCCCATTTTTACAATATTTATGATCCAATGATAAATTATATTTTTGATTGTTTTTAGTCCACCATTTAGAGCTTCCGATCCTATGAATACCTACAATTTAATATTAAAAGGAATAGATATGATTGACTTTGCAAGACACAACGTAGGAAGAACCGCGCAAGGGTTAATAAAGAAATTGTGTAAAGACATTCCGTCGGAGAGGTTGGGATGTCAACGTGGAGGAATTGTGGATATTAAAAAACATAAGTGAGTATATTTCTTTTTGAAGTTTTTTTTTTTGATATATATAACTTTTCACAACATTGTTACACCAATTTTTAAAATTTTTTTACCTATAACTTCAGATATGGCACATGAGATAAAACTGCTGTTTTCGAAAGACATAAAACATTTTATGGAAAGCAAATCTATAAAACAGATTAAAGCAGGAGCGAAAAAATAGTCTTGTTTTAAAAACCTAATTGTATTAAAGGAAAAGCCAAAATCTTGGTTTTCATATTTGAACTGAATTTAAATATAATGGCAGTTTGCCGCTAAATCTTATAAGCACCGAATAGAAAAAGTCGACGTGGTCGGCTATTTAAACACAGAACGGTCATTCTGACAGAGTACGGGATATAACCTCAAACCTCATTATTTTGTTTGCGACTTAGTTTCTGAGCCAGACATATTATGGCGGCCATGCCACGGAACTTGATTGTGTCTTTTTTTTAATTGCCGTATTGTCAGATTCCAGTTAGAGCGTAAGAAGGTATCGACTGAATTCTGGCAAGCAACGGTGGGGGAAATCTTCTTAGACATCTAACGTCACGGAGCAAGACACCCTGGTATCTTTTGGCCAGAAGACCCCAGGGTAGTGCCGGATTAACCGTGTTCCGGCTAAAACCTTAACCACCGTTCCAGAGTAGTAGTCTTGTCACTCAATGAATAACACATACGTATCAAATAAACTAATAAATAATAATAACCATGCATTTCAGATTCCTGATTCAATTTCCTTCTCTGTTCTCCTGCTCCTTCTTCTTCATCACCCTAGAAATTAGACAGTGTACTGCTCTTCATTCTTTCTCTTCTCTCATCAATATGTTTACCATATTTCTTTTATTCAGACCGAGACCCAGCATTTGCCCGAGATGGGTGCCCATCTCTGACAGTTAAATGTGGGCGAACGCCTGACCAAAACAGTCAGAAACCCCATGTCCGTTCAGAAACTGCATCAGGAAGTATTCTAGTTACCTGAACTTACATTCCCACCCTCAGATTGGGAATAAGCTCCTTCATTCACCTTGCCTTTCCGCAATCATTTGCCAATTCTCTCTGCCACTCCACTATCGTTCTCTCTCTCTTTCTCTCTCTCTCATTCTTATTTATATTTCTATCCACTCTCCTTGCATACACCCTCGATAGCTCTTTGCACAACAAATCATTTGAAACCGTCCTGTATGCACTAGATACCCTGAGGAGCATTCGCCTTTGCGAAGTATTAATCAGCTTGCCGTATATTGCAGTGTTCAATGCGCTGCACCACATGGGGCAGCGTAGGTTACCAACGACTGAAAAATTTAATTTAGCACCCTTCTTTTGATGCTACCTCGGCCTCCAATATTTGGCATCAGCCGTATCAACGCCTCCAGACTTCGGTTCGCCTTGTATACCGTCTTTTTTTGATATGTACTCCAAACCTCAGTCCATCCGACAACCAGACTCCAAGATGCTTAACCGATTTAACCGGTGCATCGTTCACACCTTCCACTATAAATCGAAGAAAGGATTTGTCTCAGCTTTTTCTGATCCACATACTAATACGACGCAGGGCTCTGTTAGCTGTATTAGCCATATCCGTTTTCTGACTCTCCTTCGTAACCAGTGCGAGATCATCGGCATAAGCTACAAGAGTGCATCTCCTTGCCATCTGTAGCCTCAACAGCCCGTCGTATAGGATATTCCACGGGATGGGACCTAGTACTGAACCCTCCGGAAACTCTGCGACAAACTGATGCTGGTGTCTTTTCTCTTATGAACCTGTCAGTAAAGTATCTGAAAATTACGTTGACCTGGTACTCACTAACGCTCAATTCTCTCAGCCTGGATATTATTTTTTCTCATGATGAAGTGTTAAAGGCATTCCTGACATCAAGCAGGATGAGAGCCACCCGTCTCTTTATATTCTGCGTGACTAAATAGTTACTTCTGTGACCGTAACTATGGTGGACTTTTTGGCCTAAACCATATGGCGGTCGCTAACGCATGCTTTCTTTTAGCTTAAGGCGGTCTTTCACAAGCTGCTGTACATTTAGCACCGAACTAGGTTAAGTTCGTTTAGACTAGTTAAGGCAAATTGGCAAAGGACCTCTTCTCTTACCTATCTTCGGATAAGACAACCTTAGCGTCTTCAACAGTGTTGGACGTTTCAAACTGCTGTTGTTCAAGCAGTTTGTTTAAAAATCCCAGGAAAACCTGTGGGTTCTTATTGCGGCGAGTCTTACTGTCTCCGGCATGACTCCATCTATGCCAGGTGCCTTTCGGATCTTCATCCATCCAACAGCCTCGCCGAGTTCCAACTCAGTAAGAGGTTACGCCTCTACGAAACCAGTAACCCTTTCACGCCTATCCTCCACCTGAGGAGAGAGTTCCCGTATTGAACGGAGTTTCTCGCCTTAGGTAGGGGGTTGGCTGTTTTTTTCCTCTTTAATTCGAGACAGACAATCTTAAAGCTCAAAGATTGTGTTAAAAATGTTTATGCTTGTCTACAGTTATTCTAGCAAAGTTATTGAAATTTATTACTGAACACAACAGGTTATATGATACATACACTCTCAGACTCACGACAGTAGCCCTAAAATTTTACAAAACAGATGTACTGGCAGATTAGTCTACAGAATGAAAGCCAATAGAAAAGAAGTAATTCTAATTTGGTAGTTTGGTCATTTTAGTTAGGTATTATATATACAGCATTTTCATTTTGAAAGGAAGGTGTTAAACATAGAATATTATATATTTAGAACGGATTAGAGAAGGCCATGCTTTTAAAAGCCATATATTGGAAAGTGTGCGGTAGTACATTCTAAGTTTGGTCTGCACATTCTCAATGGTAATTGCGCATATTCTCAATATCTACTTATTCTGAAAAGTAATATTCTATGAATTTACTAAGAACATAACATTGTTATGTGTAGCTACCAATTATTATTCGTAGCAGGTTGTATTTGTCATTTACCATTATATAGCCTAGGTAAGAACTCTTCCATTTTCTTAATCAATTTTGTGAGTTCTAACACTCTGTTTATGGTATTTAATACTGTTCCATTCGTTATGTGTTGTGTCTATGATATTCTAGTGTTCAGGCTCTAACTACATACAAACCTAGCATTACAACTTTAATTCGCATGTCTAAGCTTAGTTTTAGGTTATAAATAATTTGATTCCATTTATTGTACATGTTTCTGGCGTTTTCTATTCGTATTTTTAGTTCTATGTCTGGATTTCGCTTTCGATCATTTGGTAGTACTCGTAAAAATATAAATTTGTGAACTTGTTCTAACTGGGTGATATTTATACCAATGCGACTTTTCATCGCTTTGACTAATTACCATTACTTTAGCTTATTGAAAATTTATTCTCAGTCTTTTTTCTTCACTTGCAATATATACTCTGTCTAGTAAATTTTGTAAGTCTTCTATTCTTTCTGCTATTCTAGTTCATATTCAGAACAGTGTTGTCTGCCTCCCTGATATTGTTAATATATCTACCTTTATTTTTATACTAATTTCGAGGTCGTGTAGTGCTTGTTTGAATAGGCATTTAAATTACAAGTTAAAGAGCAATTGAGACATGACACAGCCTTCTCGGACACCTCTTTGTATATGGACTTGTCGTAGTATGTTGAAAATATTTTAAGGTTGATTCTTAGTTCCAAAAAAAGTTTTGAATTATGCGGAGGTATTTTCCGTCTAGCTTCATTTTCTGTAGTTCATTCAACAATTTTTCATGCTGGACTCTATCAAAAGCTTTTTGTTAATTGATGAAGCAGATATATTTTTTTCTTATGATTGCTTCATTTGTGAATTGTGTTTGAGTCACAATAGGGGCTTTTCTTGTTCCCAAGGTCTTTCTAAATCTGAACTGATGTCTATTCCAAATTTTTTATGAATAGGATTCTGTATGATATTTAAGAATATTTTTAGTAAGTGACTCATTAAGGGCCTAATCTTTAAGAATATTTTTAGTAAGTGACTCATTAATGGGCCTAAATCGCATTTGATGAGGCTAGCTTACTTTTGTATAGCTATGAATTCTGATTTAATTAATTTGTTATTAAGCCACTCTTATAGATGGTTTTAAAGGGATATGTTCTACTCCAGAGGAGTGAATAACATGTTCATCAATTTCTGTTTTCCTGGTTAAAGTATCCCTTCTTCAGTCCACTCTTCCATCTTCTCAAGAAAGCTGTTGGTAGATCTACAGGGGACCATTTATACTGACGGTCGTTTGATGATTTCACCATATTTGTCTACCCTTACTTAGTTTAATTTGCAGACTAAAACCGTTCAGGCCAAAGCCACAATTTGGAGTGTGGCACGTGGAACAATAGTGAGAGTTGGATGTCTTGTGAGGACGTGTTGTGAAGAAACCATCTCATGTTAGATAAATAAATAGAAGTAAAGCAACAAAGAGGAAAATAATATTATTTGTAAAGAGAATCTACAAAACAAAACATACTTGACAACAAACAGTAATTCTCACAGGAAATAATAAAAATAATTAAGTCAAACTATAAATGAGATGTATTAAAAGGGATCAAATCACAGAAACATGATGGATCTACAAGTTTCAAACACACCTTAGAACAAACACCACACTTTTAATAGTTTTAAATATTTATTTAAAGTCACATAATGCGCCCATAAATTTTAATCACTCATCTGAATCAACATTATGCGCTAATATCTTTTAGTCACTTATTTAAAGCAACATTATGCGCCCAAAATTTTAAAAACTATCTACAGATTTTGTAATATGATTATTTTATTATTTTTTAGGTGGTTTCAAGGTTTCGACTGGGATGGTTTGGTTGCCCAAACTTTACCAGCTCCTATTCAACAAAATGTCAGAAGTCCTTGCGATAGTTCAAACTTCGACGACTTTCCTAAAGATGGCGACATTCCTCCTGATGAATCATCGAACTGGGATATTAATTTTTAAGAAATAGGTTAAGTTTTACTTAAAAGTAAGTCAAATGGAACCAAAGTCTTTAAGATGGTTGTAGACGAGACCTTCTCCAATACAAAGAAGATAAGAAGAAGACGAAGAGAAACGATAAAGTACAAAGTTTTATATTTTAAAGGGAACTCAATTCTTAAGTTTGACATTACGTTGTTATTATGCCTAAACTTCTAAACGGTTTGTAAAGCATTGATATTGATATACAGTTAATTTAACTTAGAACTATTCCAAATGATACAGTAACAAGACGTAATGCGTTTTAACTCTATTATAGTGTTTACTTCCTTATTCTTTTACTACTATCAGACAAGCACAGAATCTTACATATTTTTTACAAAAAAGCGATACAAATAATAAAAAACTTTTTCATGTACTCCTGCTTTGTGAACTACACCAAAGAAATTGGCTGCAAATTGGAATAAAGTGTTGTGATACTTTAAGCTAGAATTATTTATGTATAATTAATTAATAATATGTAATTGTCAAATTTAAGAAATAAGTATTTACTAATATATTTTTAAGTTACGAACTCCTTGCTACCAACTGTCTGTGAATTTTACATACCAAATAACGAAGATGGTCAGATTTTTTGCTTTGTTTTGAATAATAAAATCTATATTTTTATATTCATTAATTTAAAAAAATCTGTAAGAAGCTAATTATCTGATCAAAATGAATAATATAACAATTTTTCATGTGAATCGGGAAACATTTTGTAGAAAAAACCATAGTATATAATATAATTTATTTGTTACGAGAGATATTTTAAGATGCTTTTCTGCAAACAGTTTCCTGATAAAAGAACTTCCCGAATATGAATAGTGTAAATCTAGAATAGTGGCATTATTTTTATAAAATTATTTATAAAATTTTATGAAATATGATTTTGTTTATTTAATCTTCCTATTGATAGTCCAAGGACGTATCCAGAGAAGTGGTTATGGGAGTCATAGCCCCCCGAGAATTAAAAAAAAATTAATATTTGCAATTAAAACGTTGATTGTTTTCTCTAAATTCATGAAGACTTTGTCAAGTTAATTTACGCTTATGAAAAAAAAATAAAGTCAATTCAGAAGGGAGAACAACGCCTGAAAGGAAAAATATTAAGATCGACAAATTGAGAAAAAAGGTGAAGAACAACGCCTGACGGGAGAAGTCAGAATAAACTAATAATAATATAGTAGTACTAATAATAATAATAGTGAAAAATAGTTTATGCGCTAAGCGCTTATTCTTTTTCTTATTTCTTTTGGATGTTATTATAATGTTTTCATTAATTCTAATTTATTGTTTTTATTTTAATTCTACTAAAGGTTCAATGTTTATAACACTTACAAATTTAATTTATTTAAATTTATTTATATTAATTTATCTTACAATAATTTATATATTACGTTCGTTATATTTAAACACCCGTTCGCGATTTTCTTCTCTAACTGGTCTCCTCCGCTCCTCTCCTCCTCCTATATCCAATACTGCTAGACTAGAAACATCTGGCTATAAGTCGATGACTTTCCACCCATTAGGAGGTGACTCATGGACTGGTCTTTCGGCGAACGACTAGAGAATTCTGCCGGCAGCTAAACAGGTATTTTCAACTGAGTGCCGAATTTACTAGAAATAGAAAATAATTAGTCATAATATATTTACAGTTTTATACGCCATAATATTTGTTATCGTAACATTATTTTTTTTGCAGTCAATCAGTGACCCTAAGTAGCAGAGTTTCTCTACGTTTTTTTTAGTTTTATGTTAACTTTTAGTTATTTTGTTGCATTTTGATATAGCTGGCACATATCTAATGTTTTCTGCGTGGAAATTAGAAGTTAGAAATTTTCTGCGACGTTTTTTATAGGTACGTGTGAAAGATTCAACCGCTTCGTTTCGAAATCTTGCAATAATCACGATATCATCAGCATATACCATTATTTGTATGGATAATATGTATATGTATATACTACAAGCATATAAGCTTAGGTGTGCGAATCGACGATCAAAACTATTGTTGGCCTTTGCTGATATTTTAGATGCAGTTGCTCATTCTCGAAGAGACGTGAGAGAGGTGTTTTTACAATTGGAAGAGGAAGGTACCCTTGGTATATATGATACCCAGGTACTCTGAGTTTTCAAATAAATAAAGGAAAGACGAAATATTAACTATTAAACACAAATCCAAGACCAAAAGTTAAGCAGGACATAACTGTTAATGACCACAACTTCGAAGTAGTAAAAGAGTTTAAATATCTGGAGATGGTAATCACAGAGGATAACTACATAGAAAGAGGGGTTTTAGCAAGAAGCGAGAAATAAAGCATTAAACTTCCTATTGTTCGGTAATCATTCATTGGTAGACGAGCCAGGTCGAGCTTTAATTGGTTCATGTCCTTTTCCCTGGTTCCCTTTTCCCCTCGTTACATGTGGCAACGATGTAATTCGGCATTCGGCATAAACATGGATTGGCTTCAAAGAGAAGCAAGAGACAGTTGGTTGAACGAAGACATGCGACCACGTTGGTGACCACGTGCAGAAGTTATCGTGAAAAGTTTCGTTTCGTGATATGTTTGCCGGCCAAAATATCTTGTAAGTACCTATTTTTCTTTTCCTATATTTTTGCTACCATTTATAGCTCGATTGGATATTATCAAAAGACCTACGGAATTTACACCCATTTTTAAATCTCCTCCGCTTGTAGCTATCGAAGGAAAAAATTTTGCTATGAAAAAAATTTACATATGAGTCTAAAGGCTGAATTTATTTTCTTTTAGACAATTACTTTTCATATTCGTACATTTGGTCCTAATCGACCCGAATATAAACTAGCTGATAAATTTTTTTTGGAGTTTGAAATAGTGTTTCGTTGGGTTATTTCGCTTTGTTAAGTGTTACATATGTATTTGTTGAAAAATATTTATTTTTGTTAAATGATAACACTCTTTTTAGTAGTTTGAAAATAAACGTTTTTTAATGCGATTTACCGGTAGCTGGAATATGATAATATAAGGTTTTTTCGTTTCGCTATTTATTTGCCGGCATTTGAATATTATCGGTTCTCGATTATTGAATCTCGTTATCGGCCGAAGTTAATTTGTTGATTTGGGTTCGCATAAAAAGTTGGAACATCTTTTTGTCTAAACCGTGCGATTAAAATTCGACGTTGCCAATATTAGTTGATCGGGTAAACGCATTATTTGTCTTGTTATCGTTTGAAATTTGAGGTAAATAATAATTGATAAAACATGGATAAAGTTACAGAGAAGAATAAAAAACTGCAGACTTTACGGAAAATGTCGTTGAACGATATACAAATTATATTAGATATAGCGAGAAAGGCAAAAACTGATATTTCGTATAAAACTTTATTCAAGGTTAGATTGGAAGACTTGGAAGCAATTAGAGCGGAATTTTGCAAACATCATTCGGGAATTATTAGCAATCTTTTGTCGGTCCCTGATGCGGGTATAGATGACGAGGAAAAAGTAAGAGAATTTTTTTTGGAACAATTTTACGAAATAAAATCGATAGAATTTGATATGTTTAACTCTCCCTCGGGTAATGCCAATAATGATTCTCTCTCGTCCGCCGGGCATAATAATTCGACCATTCTTCTACCAAAACTTTCGTTGCCTTCATTTCGGGGAGATTTTAAAGAATTCATGTCGTATTTAGATCTATTCAATTCCATGGTACACAACAATTCAAATTTGACGGATGTAGAACGGTTTCGGTATTTGAAAAGTAGTTTGGAGGGTCCCCCCTCAGTTTAATTCGAAATTTGAGCATTACCAATGAAAATTATGCAATTGCTTACAGTTTATTAGAAAAAAGATATTCGAATATTCGTCGACGAGCTACGGCACATTGGGAGGCCTTAATGAATGCTCCCAAAGTGGCAGTGGCCAGTTCAAAATCGTTATCAAATTTAGTAGATACATTCCAAGAAAATTTAGCTGCATTGAAAACTTTAGGGTTGCCCACAGATAGTTGGGATTTTATATTATTTAATCTTTTGTTATCACGTTTAGACGCGGATACGATAAAATTATTTGAATTGGAAAACAAATCAGATCGAATCCCATCATTTAACAGTTTGGTAACGTTTGTGGAAACTCAATATATCGCGTATGATAATCTCAATATTGGGCGAGGAGAGAGTAAGAATTCGTCGCGCTCGTCGACCACAGCTGCAAATGATCCTAGGCACAAATGGACTGAAGCAAAAACCAGGAGCCATAGCTCATCGTTTTTAGTAAATTCGTCGTCGTCGTCGTCGCTGCAGTGTCCATTGTGTAAACAGAATCATTATTTAAACCATTGTTCGTCTTTTTTGAAAAAATCTCCGAAAGAGAGATATGAATTTTGTAAATCGTCATCGTGTTGTTTTCGGTGTCTTAACGAGACAAATCATAATACCAAATCGTGTCCTAAAAAATTTGCTTGTAGTAAATGTCAAAGCCCCTTACATAACGTATTGTTACATTTCGGTAAGGATCGGTCGAATAGTCCTCGTTCATCGGAAAGTGGAGCTTCGAACGAAATTGAGGAAAATCCTACAAATCCGTCGCATTGTAGTACTAGCTTGGTTACTAAAAAGGTTGAATCGAAACAAGAAGTGCTACTTGGAACCGTTGTGGTTCATGCCATTGATTGTAAAGGGGGTAAAATTCCCCTTCGATGTCTTGTGGACTCAGCCTCCATGAGCTCATTCATTTCTCGAAAAGCAGCGAACAAATTAGGATTTCCAAAAAAATCGTGTTCGTTAGAAATAGTCGGGCTTGACTCTATGAAAACCAAATTAAATCAGGGTTCTATTAGTTTCTCGATTCAGCCTAGACACACGGATTCGCCTGTGTTTAGTTTGGAAGCTGTAATCACAGATCGGGTTTGCGGTGAATTGCCGAGTACTGAAATCGATATTTCTTCGTGGAACCATATTAGAAATTTACGTCTAGGCGACCCAGAGTTCTATCGTAAACAGAGCATTGATCTCTTAATCGGTTGTAGCATATTTGCAAAGATGCTTTTAGGGGACAAACTGATAGGACAGGAGGGAATGCCTGATGCCCTTAATACTGTGTTCGGTTATATTTTATTGGGTCCCACTGATTCACACGTATCGTCGCCATCCACTTCATTAGTCTGCGTGTCAAACGGAGATATGTCGTTAAGTAATTCGTTAGAAAAATTTTGGGAAATAGAGAACGTCCCGGAAAATAAAGTTGAAGAACCTGAAGATGCGTTGTGTGAACAAATCTATCAGGAAAATTGTCGTCGGGATGCTTCTGGAAGATATATCGTAGCTTTACCGTTTCGTGAATCGTCGCCAAATTTGTCGGGTAGTTATGACATTGCCTACAGTAGATTTTTATCGTTGGAAAGACGTTTGTTAAACCAACCCAAATTGTATAAAGAATATTCGACACATATGCAGGAGTATATTGATTAGGGTCATATGACATTAGTTTCCCCGGTGGAGCGGGAAAAGGGATTGTTTTATATTCCCCATCATATGGTAACAAAGTCGGATTTTTTTTTTTTTTTTATTAACATTTAAGATTTTTTACAATCTGTTTTGCAGTGAAAACAATAAGTAAAACTTTTTGTCTTTACATGACAGAGAGATGTAAGGTCCAGTGACCAAATCATCACGACACAAGTTGGCTTTTTTACCGGTAGGATGCGCACATACACTGGTACGCGAGCACTAAAAGCGGCACTGATCACAATGTCTGGGTGCTGTTGAGGGCCTAACTCCCACTACTGTAGGCTCTGTCAGGATCGGTGAGGTATGTCCAAGGGGTCATGTCGCTTCAATCTCTTCGCTTGTTGGTTGTTGAGAAGGTTGTGTGCCAGGTATTAGGATGCACCCGCAACCTGTTTTGAT